AGAAAATTGATAATTTTTTGATTTTTTTGATAGTTTTTACTTCCGAATGGAAGCAAAAACAAAAATTCAAAATCATTTATGGTTTGAGATTATTAGCAAATCTGATTAAATTGCGTTTCAACGACACTTGTTGTCTATAACTCCCCTGTGATCGTTATGATCCTGAAACTTACTTTTAGTTCAACACATTCAGTGTTCCTGATTTGAAGGAAAGAAAAAAAAAACAAAAATGACCAATTTTCTGTCAGTGGGCCGTTTTGCCCTAGGGGTTCCTTTTGCCCTCCCGGTCTGTTTTGCCCTACCCTCCCGTACCAAATGCAGTACAAGAACACTGTCCCACGTGTTTTTGACTATTATTGGTCTATTAGAAGTGAACCCAATTAGAGTCCCAGCCCGAAAGGACTTGATATTTGACGGGATAACAAATTTGATAGTGTCTAGTTTTAAGGATGTTTTACCTATCGAGTGGATAACTCAGTTGAAAATAAAAATAAAATTGACTAAATAAATCATTCATGTTACAAATTATTGTTCTCATCAAATAAGAATTGTTATGGCGTACTTTTTCGGTCTCAAAAACAATAATTAAAGAAAATGTTCGCAAATAATGGAGGACTTGTGCCTGCAGTGGTAACACTCGAATTTTGATCGGACAACATCGCACGCTTCGGCTAGTAGTGGGGTTGTAACAGTGAGATGAATGTTTGTGTGTGTTATCTGTGTCCATATGCTTCCAGCACTGAATTATCGTCACCGACTTTACCGATCTCGATCAGCTGTTGTGTGGTGTTGTCCCGTTCCTCGACTCGTAATGGCGGCCAAATTTTTTTAGCGGAATTCGAAAATCAACCGAAGATATCACGCCTGTATAGCCCGGTCCCCTACTTGTTCTCGCCGGTGATAGATTCTCCATAGTCTAAAGTAAATGGCCTGTGGTTTATTTCAATATCTTGAGTGTATAACCGTACAACATCTCGATCAACGGTCACACAGTCACGTTTCTTCCCTGAGCGTAATGTTACAAGAAGTGATTTTTAGAAATTCATTTCTTACTAGGATGCCCCGATAGAAGGATTAAGATTATTACTGACGTAATAATCTGGTATATGGGACAATATCAAAATTATGGTGAATAATGAGGGGTTTGGCTAAACATCCTTAATGTTTTTAATAATTTTTTCATGTCACATCCGGAAAACAACAAAAAATTCTTGAAAATTTCGATAGAAGGAAATTGTAAAGTTCTAATAACACAGAAAAAAAGTCATTTTATGAGAATTTTTAAGCTCTTAAGAACTGGGATGATTTCATTAATCAAACCATGAATAATTTTTTCGTGAAACAAAGGTAAATGACTGAATTGATACAAATGCCATAACTGCGGTTATCAATTATTAAAAGAATTACCTCAGGAGTATGTAACAATAGACTTTTATAATATATAAATATAAATAGCACATGTACTGATTGGCTTTTTTGTTATTACAAACCATGACACAAATGCGATCACCCATTTACTCAATGTATCGACTGAGCGATTCTTCTGAACTGACAATTAAGATCACTCAAATGATTTCAAGACTAATATTTTATTTTTCAATTTATATGCTAATAATGAATATTTAGTTTTTCTTTCAAAATTGAATTCTTTCATGGAAAACAGCGGAATGAATTTTTCTTTGCTTATTAATAATTTCGGATCTAGATGTGGGTTATTAATCTACAATTTCAGTGGTTAGTCGATTTTTAAAACAATAATTTTTTTAATATGATACACTGATAGAACGGTTTAGTCGAACCAAACGAGACTTTTTAACTATTACCACGATTCGTTAACTATTAACGAATCGCGGTAACAGTTAAGGTACTTCCGCAGTAAGTATACTTGGTGAAAATTTCGAAATGGTATAACGACGCAATATTTGGATCATATATTGTTGACCACATTAAAAAGATATTCCCAAAATTTCAAGTCCCTGGTCCACCTCATTTTTGAGATATGCATCGCCAAACATTCAATTTTTGTGTTTTTTCCATTTTTGACGATGTATGTCTCGAAAATGGGGTGGACAAGGTACTTGAAATTTTGGGAATAGTTTTTGAATGTGCTCAACAACATATGATCCAAATATTGCGTCTTTATACCATTTCGAAATTTTCACCAAGTATACTTACTGCGGAAGTTCCTTAAGAAGCCTCGTTTGGTGCAACTGAATTGTTCCACCTTTTTTTTATCAGTGTAGCAATGAAATACAATTTCTGAAAGACTGTTTCATAGAACAAATTTCATATTTTCGTATGCACTTTGTTCTACGTATTTAACCAATCTTGAATTTTATTTTGATTAAAAAATAATTTATGAGTCACATGAGTATCCCTGCTTGCTATACAGTCAATCCGGGGCTCAGCGATCGGCTCGAGTGCGTGAGCGGAGGTTCAGCCGCATCCCCGCTTGAATTTCTACATGGGTTCACAAGGATATTTGAAGTATAAACTGGACGATCGTTTATGTGTTTCGGGACCACTAGCCAAGTACTGACAATTATCTCTCTTCCGCGTGATGCTGTGACGCGTCCCTCAGGAGATACACGGAGAGAAAAAATATATAAAAAATTAGTTTGTTATCCACCAACCCTAAGGGTATACACAGCGAGGAAAATAAATGAAAAATTGGTGTGCTACCCACCAACGCTGAGGCATAACAAGAGGTCATCGAAAAATTCGTACGTGACACCCTAATTTTTGCAAGGACTCACGCCATTTCTTCGTAGAATTCCCGTAAAATTAGGGTGCCACGCACGAATTCTTCGCTGACTATCTGTTATGTACCAACGTTGGTGAGTAGCACACTAATTTTTTGAGGGACCCTCACTAAATTGTGGTGTATTTTTCTCTCCGTGTACGATGGACAAATCAGCAACAGTTGTTTTCTCTTCAACTTGAGCCCGGAAAATACTCAAATGTTACAATTGAACAAATGTTTATGAATCGACTCATAAATTACACATAACACCTTTTTCAAAATAAATATATGAATGAATTTGTGATTCCTCTGCTTGGCCTGCTCAGAATTACCAGACTACTGTGAATTAAATTTTAGAATCTAATATCGTCCATAAGAAGCAATCAAAATTACAAAAATTTTCCGGGAAATACTCAAATGTTACAATTGGTCGTATATTTATGAATCGAATCATAAATTCTCGTTATAAACTGTTTGTAAACTAGCTTCGATCAAATAACATTGTCAAAGTATTTGACAGTGCTTAGCTTTTCATATCTCTGCTCCCTTACTATTGCCCAAATAGCGATTTTCGATTCTTTTTTCCAAACATCGATGTTTCTGACCAAGCTAACAAAATTTTTCATTTTTTTGTCGAAGAATAATGTTGATTGGTTGAGAATAAACAAAATAATAATTTATCTGCAATCAGAAGTAATTATTTTCTACACTATATATGTTAGAAATGATAAGTGAACAAGTCCAGTTGTCTATTGTTTTTTTAAAGAAAGAAAGAGGAGAAAAAGAGAAAAGAGAAGAAAATATTCAATATATTTTCTTTAATTAATCACAAACCCTGTTTCAAGATTCAAAATTTAACTTTCCAGCAGTATTTATCATCGAAACTTAAGTTCCTCTGATTGTATTTTTTGAATATATATTTTTCAATAAAAATGAGAAGAAAAAAATTATTTAAAAAAATTTTGTTTTTCTCTTGTGTAATGAGAAAAACATCGATTTTCGAAATAATCGATGTGTTTTAAAACATCGCCCATCCCTAGTTGGCTAAGCAAAGGAAAATCAGGCGACAAATTATCGACAAGATACAATATGAAAAATTTATCAACAGGTCAACATTTTCAAAATTATTTGACACTGATGATATTATGGGGCTCGGTAGCATATCACATTAAATTCTTTTTCTGTACTGCTTCTCACGATTTCTCGTCTGGGAATTGGTATTACATACTTCCCAAACTCGAAAACTTGAAAATCACTACAAAAAAATATTGTTCCTGGGCTGTTGCGATGGGGTTTTTTTACTCGTGTGGTTGGCCAGTCCTCGCCTACGGCTCGAAGGCCAACGCCACACGAGTAAAAAACTCCATCGCAACAGGCCGGAAAAATCCTATTTATTGAAATCGTTGAAATTTTTTCATTAGAGTTGCGCAAGGGCTTATTAAATTTAAAATACTCTCATATTTTCGCAGTACAATTAACAATTTTACTAAGAACGAAACTGCGAATAAAATAGTCGCATCGCGAGCTATGACGTCAATGATATCATGCATCTCTTGAAGGATATCGCATTGAGTGTGACTTATTGAGTCGTCAGAATTGCTTTAGTAAAATTAGTTTGAGGCTCACTAAATTATAATTAATACACACATTTGGCCAAATTATTTAAAAAATAAATCAGTAGCGAAGTGGTCAAACGGTTTAAGTCGAGTTTGGCTATTGACCAGTTTTCAATGAATATCTCGAAATCTAAGGGAGATAGCAAAATTTTTCTGATGAACTTACTGAGTAGCACTCAATTCGCTTTACAAAAGCGGTTATTATAAAAACTTCGCCATCTGCCTTAAAGTCGGAAATATTTTTGGAAAACTCAACTAAAGACTAAATTGACTTAAGCCGTTTGACCACTTCGCTACTAAAATATATGAATGACTAGATTGTTCACTTTAAGCACCATTTGTGGTTTCTCTGCTTAACCTGCTCAAAATTACCAGAATACTCAAAATTAAACTCTAGAATGTGATGTCTTCCATAAAAATAAATCGAAAGTACAAAAATTTTCAGTAGAAGATGCGTCGGATATAAATCAATGCTTCTTGCGAAATGAAAAAATCTGACAAAAGTGCAGATGCCCTCAACTACATAAAGATTCTATCTGTGCAAGTTTTCCCTCAAATAAACTTTACCAATACCCCCGACAAAATCTCTGAAATGAGGATGACCACGTAGTAATACAGATTGGATTTTTTCTCTGTTGCAGTATATGCGTAACGGTGGTTGTTCTAAACGTCCACTTTCGTTCACCACAGACCCACAAAATGGCGCCATGGGTCAAACGGGTGTTCATCCACATACTACCAAGGCTACTGGTGATGCGAAGGCCAACGTACAAGTTCGAGCCAAGCCGGTAAGTCCCCTGAAAACCCCCAAATCCCATGGCAATAAAAAATGTAAAAAGTAGAAAAAATAGAAATCCCCACAGAAGCTAAATTCGCATTTGATTTTTTTTCAAGAACATGGGTGAATGTGGTAACAATAGCTGTATCCCAATTTCATTGTTGTGGACAAAAGCAGAAGCTTCCTTTAGCGATGCTCGTATACTTTTACGACAAGTATCCTTATCGACACTTTTTCCCTTTGCCTCCCAGGCCGTACCATAAACGATATTGTTACGTTACAATGACGATCGAATTGCCCTTCTGTTATCGAATTTCGTTTTACGGGAGCTGTGCAATACCTTAGTATCGGTTCGCCTCAATTTTTTGTCTCCAATCCGCTTTATTGAATTTAGTTGAGAGTTGTTCGCTGCTGTATTTGGTATTGGTAATCATTTATGAGTGTTGTTTTATTTGTTGATTCAGGTTCTCATCGGGGAGAGTTCTGATGAGGACTGTGAGGGGCAAGGAGAAGACGAATTACTATCCTTATCATCCGTCTAGCCAGGACGACAGCGAGGAGCACTTCACACCCAAGAGGTTTCATAGTCGTCCAGTATCTAAAGAAGATATTTCTCCATCGAGGTACTAAATTTTTTATGGCCAGGAATATGAAGTCTGATGATATGGCGCAGGGAGTAAGGTCGTTGGCTCGAGTGCGAGAGGTTCCGCGTTTGAATCGCGGGGGCTATTTTCAGTAGAACCTTAAGTCACACCAATTACGGATGAATTTATGTCCACCTCTGTTCAAGACTCGATAAAAACCGCGGAGTTCGGTTGAAGTTGCGTTTCCACCGAGACTTGAATCGAAGTGACCGTATACTTAGCCGTACTTGGCGTGACTGGAAATCCCGGTGTAAATACCCCCATAATCTTGACCGACCTTCCAGCCACTTGAAATCCCGGTCTAAATAGTCTCATGATTGGTTAGGATAATGGGGCTATTTTCACAGGAACTTTAAGTCGCGTCAAGTAAACCTAAGTTTATGTAAAAAAAGCGTTTTTGACCCGCGGGAGGTGTGTAGGGGAGCTGGTGCATGTCCCGCCCACCTAAGGGAAATAAGTTTTTTTTTCCAACCCCCCTGGTAGAAATTCTGACCGGCAGGGCGACATTCGGTGGGCGCGTGCCTCCGGACATTTGGTCTCGTATATTGGGTGTATTTCCACACGTACAAGGAGAAAAATGTACGAGAAAAATTACCGTGCTCGCACAGTAAAGTGGGTTCAGATGGTCTTTCCAGGCGAAATGTACCACAAAGAGTACGAAAAAGTACTGTTGCACGAGTCATTTTTCAGATAAATGCGGGGAAAAATTCTTGTGCAGCACGGTAAAATCGAAGCGACAGTGAATTTTTACGAGAAATACGAGAAAAATTATGCCATTGGCTGGCAAATTTTTCCGGTGCTCTACCAGAATCCTAGGACTCGATCGCGCATTCGTAAGATTTCGGCACTCTTCGTTCCCCTCTCCGCAGCCACGAACATCAACTCAACGTGACCAGATGATTTATTCCATTGCCTCCTGCAGCCTCCTCTCTCACATATCTCCCGGTGCTGGCACGGTAAGTTCTCCGAGTCCATCCAAATGAACCCATTCTACTGTGCCAGCATAGTAATTTTTCTGGTATTTTTTTCTCCGTGTATCGCAATGTGTGGAAAGTGGAATTTTACGCACACCAAACGTAAAATTATGTACAAATTACGTCAAATTATGTACAATGTGCATAATTTGAAGAATGTTCTCAGACGGAGATTTGTTGATGTATCTGTGTTTATCGATCCGATTTCTTTTTTGTAAATATTTTAAACAATGAATGTTCGCTCCAGCTTAACGGATGGAGCAAGGTTTGGCGGAAGCTGCCTAATTCACGGGCCTCTGCCTCCTCTACCTTTGAACGCCGACTGTGAGGATGTGCCCGGTGCTGCGGGCATTGAGGAAATCAAAAGCCCGGTCCTAGCATCCGCCCCAGGCTTCACGCATTCACGATGTCCACCTGAAATTCATAAGTCATGTATGGGCGTTAGATTCATAGCGGAACATACGAAAATGCTCGAAGACTCCACAAAGGTAAATCTACATTACAAAATTATGAATTCTGCGTCTTGTAGCATTCACAAATTTCCTGAACATGTTTTCAAGACCAAAAATGCAGTAAAAATTAATATGCTTTGTTCAATTATTGTTCATTGGACATTATTATTTCCCTGTAGAAAAATATTATATTTTTAATCTAGGGAGGCAAAATAAAAAAGTCGTGCTTAAGTGCAGTATCCACGAGCCGAAGGCGAGGGTGGTAAGCACGTGGGTTCACACAAAAACAAAGTTGGTCTGAATCAGACCGAAAAATCGGTCTGAATCAAGTCGGACTGAATCATGTCGGGAATCGACTTGTTTCATGTTGAATTGACGGCATGAATCAAGTCGGACTAGGACAGATGCAAACCGGAATATCGGTCTGATTCAAGTCGATTTTTCTACTTGATTCAGACTGACTTCGGTTTGATTGAGGTCGATTTTTCGGTTTGATTCAGACCGATTTTTCGGTTTGATTCAAGCCGATTTGTCGGCTTGATTCAGATCGGCGACGGCTTAATTCAGATCGTTGTCGGCTTGACAGGTTTCTACTTGAAATAAACTACCTTTCGACTTATATCGAACCCGGCACCCAGATTGGCGTAGTTTGAGTCACTCGACTTGAATCAAACCGAAAATCGGTTAGAATCACACCGTCGTCGACTTGAATCAATACTTGTTTTGGATGTAAGGGTCCTTTATTTTATCTCCTATGGTTAGAACGGTATTTTTCGTCTTAGTATACACGCAAATGCCGATTTCCCTTCCGCGAAGCAGAAATTTTGTCATATAAACCCCGTCAAACTGAAGATAATGCTATGTATGACGTCTCATTTTGAAGGATTTTTTATGTTCTTTGAGTGTGCCAAAGGGCGATTTCATAGCTTGAAACGTCGCGGAACTATTGAGGTCAATGTGGAAATTTTTTTTGTCAAAAACTAGCAATTTTCAAAAAATCATAATTCAATTATCAATATTTTTCAATTTTTCTTCTTTCAAAATGTTTATATAATCGCCATCTTTTCAAAAAAAAAAAATCAGACAAAGATCCCCATTTAGAGTTAGATCCCCATCTAACTTTTCTCGTATCTCGCCATCTAAAAAATACCTGCAAAAAAATCAACATAAATATTTTCAATTCACTTCTCCTCTCCCAAAAACTCTAATTCCGCAAAAACTTTAATCACTCAACCACTCACCACTTCTCAATTTCACTATTCACCCAGGTAAAAGAGGATTGGAAGTACGTAGCAATGGTGCTAGACAGACTATTCCTCTGGATCTTCACCCTAGCAGTATTAGCCGGTACAGCCGGTATAATCCTGCAAGCGCCAACTCTATACGACGACAGAGTTCCTATAGACAAAAAATTCAGTGAATATGCCCGCGATACAGTGGCAAGATGTCCACCTCAATAGTCCACGTCGAGCCGTGCACCGTAGTAGGCTGCCCCAATCCTCTAGGACCAATAAAGTGATTTTAAATGAATCCAACCAGTGGTTTCAGTTTGGAGTAAGCCTATTACCTGTCACGGCTGAGGGACTCCATCAATTTATTCATATATGAGGATATTTATAACTCAAATGAGTCTATTAATCATAAATTAATTCGAGAGAATAAACACGAGGCGAGAAGGAGAGAATGAAAAACTTGAAGAAATATTAAGAATGGAAATTCGATAGCCTGTGCTCAAGTAACTCGTAACAAAGCTGCCACTACGTAACTCGGTAACTTAATTATTAAAATCGTGACAAGGGATAATTACATTGAACAGGTGTATTAACGATTTAACGTGTAATATAATGAATGATATTATTGTATTATAGAGGAAGGGATTAACTGTTTCAGTAATAAAGTGCTGAATTGCGTTTATTATCGAAAGAGATTCATTCAAATTGTGGAGTATATTAGGGTATGTTTAAATTATTATATACGATGTTTTGTATGCCCAAATACCCACCACGTTGTACAGTAGGAATCACGTACATAGATTGATGGATTGACATTGTTCTCCATTTGAATTTGAGGGGATCCTGGTAGTTCATTAGTTATTTGTTGATTTATTTTGGAAATATCTTTGGAATGAAAAAGTTTTGAGATAACACCCGCTAGAAATTTAATAAGAAAAAACTACTGAATTGTAATTTTTCTATATAACTTATTCTATTATTTATATTTTATACAATTTCTTTCCATAAATGTTCTGAAGTTTTTTCGACTGCATTTTGTCTTATCTTGTTGAATAAACTCAGACAATTTGAATCGAAAAATTTCTGCAGAATTAATTTCAGAATAAGCTGTGTAGAGAGATCATAATCTATTGATTTTTAGATAAAATATTTTCTATTGAACATTTCTATCATAAAAACGCCCAGAATAGCTGTGAAATTCGTCAAATACTATCGGTGAGAAACACAAATGGAATTTCGAAAAAAATTCTTTTCCTATTTGTCTCTAAACCTAGTAGTTTTGGAGATACTCGCAAAATCGCCTGCATCGATTTTTTTAATCGAGTGATTTTCAAACTTTCATGTAAATTTGAATCTAAACAATATAGATGGATGTCGTTGATTCATGGCGTACGATAAGTGAGACCCGTTCTTAGGACTCCGAGAGATGACTGGGATCTCCTTAACATGAAATTCATAATAAAACTAATGAATTTGCACATAACTACTGCATTGTTGTTTCGAGAGTAGCAATAATGCTGTTGGCATTACCCTGAAGTTTTTCGAATTTGTCAGTAAAATTTGAAATTACTTGAACTCTTCTCCACAAATTCTTCAATTATAAAGTTTCTTCTATATTATGATAAATTGTAAATATTAAGGATTGATTTAGTTGGCAATTTCAAAAAAATTTCCACCACTCTGGGGACCATTCCAATATTACGTCACATATTTTTTAGAATTTTTAGAGATCCTCCCCCTTTAATATTACGGTACAAAATCCACGATAATCCGCCCCCTGCTATGACACATTTTGCGGTTGCTTCAAATATTATTGAATTTGTAAAATAAGAATGTCAAAATGAAGGCCAATGAGTAGGTGACCAATTAAATCCTTATGCGATACTCATAAGACAATTCGTTACTTATTAACCCTTTAACATGATTATTCATAGTAGAGAAGTTTCCACTGAAATTGTATTATAGTATTGAAAAAAAGTATTGAAAATTTCTAACAAGTAACATTTCCACAGAATTTTCAAGGAATTTTGTAATCGAAAATTCTTAATTTCATGCATGAAATCACAATGGAGAATCTCCATGGAGAAATTTGTGGGAACTGTACATTGCAGTTTAATTATTCTGGGGAGGTTAATGAATAATCGGAAAATTCAGAGAAATTACTCCCTAAATTCCCGATACTTCTGAATTTTCGGGGAAATCCTTTAAAAATTCCTAAAATTCCAAGAACTGTATATGTAACCCGTCAGTAGACGTGCTCTTTATAGCATCTCACTCACACCGCAGAGTCGTCCTATATGTTGACTAGCGTTGGGTGAGAGAAATACTCATAGCGCGCCTACTGACGGGTTAAACTTTAACCGTTAAAGGAATTACCTGAAAACTCAAGGGAATTTGGCCGTAAATATCCATTTTCACTTGAAAATTCGTCTAAATTGTGTAATTTCCGTCGTCCTGCCGCTAAAAAAATGGGACTTTTATTTGAATTTTCAGAGAAACTTGAAATTCGATGGATTTTTTTTGTTGATTGAAAATGTAAAAAAAATGGTGTGCCATCACAACTCAAAGCAATCTTCTCCTCCCCTTTTATCACAAAGTGTCACAGAATCCTCTGCGCCGTAAATATGAGACGTAATATTTGAATGGCCCCATAGCACTCGTTCGCTCACGATCTGCGCATTTTGTAAGAAATGATGAATACATAATAGAGAAACTACATACATCAGTAATGGAAAGGTGAAACGAAGGATGCAATACATTTTCAACATTTATTTTCTTGCAGGATATCTTGGAATCGGAGGGGGATAGCGCAATTTTTATAACAACCTTTGCAATTTTTTAGTTGTCATACGGAGAAAATTATTTGGTGCATTTTAACCACTAATTGTTGAATTTCACCAACTTGGTGGTGAAATTCAACAAACTATTTGGTGAAATTTAACCACTAGTTGTTGAAATTCACCAATTAGTTATTGAAATTCAACAATTAGTTGTTAAAATTCACTAAATCATTTTCTCCCATCACTTTTACAAATGAGTAAGGTCATTAGGAAAATTGCCACACCTTTTTGCGATTCAGAGATGCTGATCAAAAAATCGTGATGGAAATCAATTGATTCAGGAAAGATTGGAGTCGAATGGATAGTTCTGAATCTTCAACAATTTCGGAAAACTTCAGCTCATTTCGAGTCTGAGAAGACGCTTCAGAAAATTGAGAAAAAAATCATTAATTTACTCTACCAGATTTCGAGTTATAGACGACTGAAATATGTATTCAAAAATCAAAAAGAAAAAAAATCCTTCGGTCGGGAATTCTGCAAGAAATTTTATTGACTCTCTTTTATACAAATCACAGCCCCCTTTCTTCATGCGTTTTCTAAATAGAAATATCCAACTGAAAAAATCTATGAATTTTTATTGAGATGCCGTCTATAGGAATTCCTCGTCATGAATTTTCACTTTTTTCTGCTGTCTCTTGCCAAAATGTCCAAGAATAAAAACGTAATTTGTTTTCCATTTTTCGTATTTTTTAACCAAAATTTTTTTAACAAGAGACAGTTGAAAAAAAACGGAAATTTATGTCGAGAAAGGATAAAAAAAAATCTAACAACACACGGAAATTCCAATAGATATTAGTAAAAATAAATTGATGGATCCATTCTGCCCCAATCTCTTCAACTTCGTTTACCTGAAATCATCACACTTGCAAATAAGTCAACAAGAGAATTTCGCCCCAATTACCAACCGTTTAATGTATAAGCATAAATAGATAAGATAAGAAAAAAAAAGTAAAGCATACGAATTCTAAAGCTGATAGTTGTAGCGAGCTGGTGAACAACCGAAATATTGGTGTTCGAATGCTGTAGTTCGTAGTCGATGTCACTGTGAGTCGTCTACGTTCAATATTTTTTTAGATAGAAAATGTATGTTAATGAAAACAAAATAACATGATGATGAAAACAATTGTACAATTGTGTTGAGACAACCTGTTGGCCTTTGAATCGATCAGGAGGTGCTGTAAAGAGGGAATAACACTGGGAGTTGTTAGATTTCGAGGTATATTTTGAGATGATGCTAGTGAATACGGTCGATCCAGGGGTAATATGTGATGGGAATGGGGGAATGTACTATAGAAGCCCTTTGGACTGTAAATACCCGTAGAATGTGGATAGCTTGATTATTTATAGAGAGTTTCCATTGATCGACTGCCAATAAAACCATTCTCAATATTTGATATTCAGGAAGATGTTCTTTTCTGCTCAATACCTTCTTTCATTATGAAATTGCCTCCAAAGTCAAAGGTTTTAGGGCATAATATATGAAACATCTTCTGTAGCCGTTGAAATTCTCTATAAAAAACGGTCTAATTCTCGTCATAATTTCATAATTATCAGAACGCGATCACTGAACTCGTTATATTATTCCACTTAACCACATAATGTTATTTATGAAAATTGAATTCCTTCAATAAAGTTCGATTAATTCGCATGTTAAAAATGTTGAGTTGAGTGAAGTAATAAAACTCACTAGTAAATGAAATAATTTAAGCAATTATTAGTAGGATAAATGATTTGTTATCAATTACTTCGTACATAAAAATTTAGAGCGACAATTGAAGTGAAAAATATCTCCCTGAATGTACCTTAAAATATGTTCCAACAATTACTCGTACATGACCATCGCTTAATTTCCTTTACGTAAAGCTCAATACCTTAATTTATTCGGGGATCAATGAACCACAGAAATGAATAAAAATCTATTAGTACCAATACCGAAACAAATTGAAACATAAAATAATAATTGCGCGAAAGTGCCTTTAGGTGCTCGCAAGAATATTTAAATAAAATTCAACGCAAAGTCTCTCCATAAAACGTTAAAGAGAAACTAATGTAACAAATTAAATAACGAAAGAAGCGCACATATTTTATATTTTAGCGAACTCATGCACCCAAGAAAATGAACAAAATATAATATTTTGTAGAGATTGAGAGAAACAAACGAAATAAATTAGGAGAGGATATTTGAGAATCATGCACTTAGGAATTTAGGCTGTTAATCACCTAGGATAATGTGTATATTTGTACATAAAGATGAAAGAATTGTTGCTGAGTTTATTTTGTACGAGGGGCACGATTGAACGAGATTGTCAAAAATTACCTCCAGAAAAGAAATTGGATACGAAATCAGTCGTGAAGTGAACGAAGAACATAAGTCCGGAGGATTCATATTGTTCCATAAGTATCTCTTGAATTAATAGTGATGGGCTTAGCAAAATTTAGCAGAAAACTTTTTTGTGGAAAATTGTATTTTTTTGTAGAAGTACTTGTTTCGGAGATGTTAGCGTAAGATGAAATAAAAGTACGAGAGATTATCAAAACGTTTTTAGATCGATTATTTCCGGAGGTGCCTGTAGAAGAATAAAGCAGAGTTCCGAGAAGTCAAGGAAGTCAGGAATTGGAGTGAATCGCTCACATTATCCCGAAAATACCTGCCAAATTATTGGTTCTAGAAAAATTCTAAAAACTGATTTTTTATAGGAAAATCAATTCTCTGCACAAATAACTATTTTCATTACGAGGTGCAAAACACTAATTTTTGGGCACGCTTTGCGTGCCTAAAACGTCCCTTTTCCACACGTTCTCATGAAAAATATCGTTCGATACTCATGGGAAGTGTTTTTCGGCTCGTGGGATTATATCACTCGTCTTCGGTTCGTGCTATAAACCTCCCACGAGCTAAAAAACACTTTTTCGTCACAAAGTCGAAAAAAACTTTTCCTCGCACGAGTGTGAGGGTTGCAGAGCGTGGCGAAGCCGAGGAATGCAAACACACCAGCCACAAAAGTTTTTTTCGGCCGAATGACGAAACATACTATTTCTTGAAGTCGTCCCTAAACGGGCGACGTAACGTGGGTGACGTTTTACGGACAATGCTGAAAATTCTTATCGAATTTTTTTCTCCGTGTGAATCGACTATTCTTTTCGCGAGATATTTACGAAATAATGAAACACAAAAATCTTATACATACAGTCGAGCACTAAAGTTCGTGAACAGCCTGAATTTGCATTCTATGTATTCTGTTTACGAACTGTAGTGCTCGACTGTACATTTTAAAAAAGCTTCATTTTTTAGCAAAATCTTGTGAACCATTGAGTTGAGCGGAATTCGTCAAAATATACTTCTTGTGAAAAATTTAGTTCCCCACAACAAAGAATCTGGAATGTTTTCTTGTAATTCCAAAATATTCATGAAATAATGTCCGCCGAGGCTGAATCAGCTATCGATAAGTTCAAAAGATTTATTTGTATTTTTACAAGAATATCTTTTAAACTATTCAACTTATCAAAATTCACCAAAATACTTTTTTGCATGAAATTAAATTCCCTACAAAAAAAGTCCCCTTACGTTTCCTCCTAAATCCCATAGTTGCTAATGTACCCTCAGAATGATTTGTCAAATATATTTCCCGCTCACCCCCGAAAAAAAAACCGTTCACAAAGATACTTGAATCTTCCTCATCGACTGTTTCGTGAGAAAAATATTTCTCGTTTAATCGTAAACCCACCTCTGACACGTTATCGGTAAAGTGTCTAGCCACACAGAGTGACGTTCATCCGATTAGCGTAAATACACTTTGAGAAGCGAGAGAGAGAGAGAGCGGTGGCGAAGGAGAGCGAGAGGCAGGATGATTTTGATTTAAAAAATAGAAAGTACCAACTGTGTAACGATCAATGACCCCATTGCCTCTGACGATAACTGAAGCAACTATCGAGCGTATTATGGGGTAGGTCAGACACGTTCCCACCCTCTCTCCCACCCACCCCGCCTGCTCTTAACCTCTCCACCGTGTGATGTAGAAGAATTTGACGTTTGAAGGATAACTCTTAAACGCCATAGCAATGTAGAAAAAACAAAGAATTGGAGACGTTTTATTGTTTGAACGTTGACGGATATTTATAATTATTGTAACAGTACCAATTAACGAGGGAAAATAGTTTTAATGGAATATTTAAAGAAAATCGGTCATGATTCTTGAGGGGTCAACCATCTATCTCAAATTATGTAATGATTGTCGTTAGATGAGAGTTAATAGAAATATCGTGAAATTTGTTAAATATGTAATATTATTATCATTACTACATTATTATGCATATTTATTATTGGGTTATTGACGATAAATATTGATGATTATTATTATTGAATTGTATTATATGAAAAATTGAATAATGAATTATGATGATTGAATGACGTTTTATCATTACCGGTCGTTTTAGGAAAATTAAGATGATAAGGACGAGATTCTTGTTGCTTGGTTTTTGTAATCATGCTTTTTGGGGTGAAAGCGAATTGAATGGAGAATAAAAATTGTTGTCGTAGATTAATGTTTTTCTTAATGCAATCAGTACCTTATTTTGTAAGCGGAGAAGTGGAATGAGATAAATCAAGTCAAATTCAGGGTGGAAGATTGAGAGATATCGCCGAATGTTAGGGAAATGGGGAGATTTACCTTGGAAGTTTTTTGCAGCATGATAGGAGAGCTACAAGAAAGGTATCTGTTGAGATTGCGTCTGAAACTTGAGTCTGGCAATGAGGGAAATTGATTTATCTTGTTTTACAATTTAACTGTTAAATTCAGATAAGGCCAAAAAGCGTTTTTCATCGCTTGGCATTTTCTATGGAAGGTATGGAGATTTTTACGAAAGGGTTTCATCGCAGTCTGGCCGAGATTCTTGGAATATGATCGACACAGGTGTGTACAAAATTGATTTCTATATCAAAACTTGAAAATATTAATTTGTAACGAGTGGCAGAGGTGTTTTCGAAAAAGTGGATTTCAACATTTTCCTTTTAATTGCCGTTGGAGTAAATTATTTTACCAATTTTTTCTATAGCACTAAGTTCAGTGATGTTTACCATTTTTTGAAATACTATGGACTACTGAAAATATTTGAAAAATAATAAGAAAAATGAGTTGAAACTTGATTGAGAAACATTTTTCTAAATAGATGAAATTTTTTGCTTGACAATAGTATATGGTGTTACTAGTGCGTAAAGTTCCACTTTTTCGTACACACGTGTAACATATCCTACTTTTGTGATACTTGCCGAGGTCCCTATTCAGAACAGTAATGGGAGCAAAGTGGTTGTTTTTGTGCCTGAATGTGTAAAGGTCAAGGGCGTGCGTAAAGCGAATTTCGAGTACGTAAGCTCGTGTGCAATCGAAACTTTACGCACGAGAATTCACTTTACACACGCTAGCAAACTTGACGCACGCCGGCAGGACAGCAACCGCTTTACGAACACTAAACCGTTTCGAAAGGTGCACAAAAGAGTATATTTCATCACTTGTGCATAAAGTGAAATATTATACACACTCCACGTGCGCAAAATCTTACTTTCCATACATCGTGATGAAAAATAGGGTTTGATACTAGTGGGAAAAGTATTCTCTGACCCTTAGGATGGTAGGACTCACCTTCGGCGAGTGCTAGACACCTCCCACGTATCAAGAAACACTTTTACGCACTTGTACCGAAATAAACTAGGGGAGAGTAGGGTAACACGGCCCGCAGGACAAAACGGACCCCTAGGGCAAAACGGACCACTGACAGAAAATTGATAATTTTTGTTTTTGCTTCGGAATGGAAGCTTTGTAATCGTGATTTTTTCGATTTCTCAATTTTGGGTGGAAATGCCTAGACGTATGAGCACACTTCTTGTCTATAAAACCCCTGTGACAGTTACGATCCAAGAAACTCACTCTTAATTCAACACGTTCAGTGTTCCTGATTTCAAGGAAATAAAAAAACAACAAAAATTATCAATTTTCTGTCAGTGGTCCGTTTTGCCCTGCGGTCCGTTTTACCCTACCCTCCCCTATTATGTTACTAGCGCCTACAGCTCCACTTTTTTGTACGCACGTGTAACACATCCTATTTCATGTCACTAGGCCCGAGACACTGCTATTTTAACCACGATTCCCTCAATAACATAAAATCGCATGCAACGACATCATAGTATATTTCGATACGAGTGAGAAGGAATTTTTACGAGTGTGAAGTTGGCGGCCCGAGGCGAAGCCGAGGGCTATCAGTCACACGAGCTGAAAATTCTCCTCTCCCATATGTCGAACAATATTTTTTGACAGTGATATTACGTTCAGCGAGCGGCCGAACTGTGCATTTTTCGTTTACAAATAAACAAGACTGTTCGTTTACGAGTAAACGAAAAGACTTTTTGGCATGAGGTGAGCGTAGCAGCAGTATCGAAAAATATTTTTCATTACGCTGTGACCAAAAGTATACTTTTCGGCACGCTCCGCGTGCCTTAAAGTCCAATTTTCGCTACATTGTGATGAAAAATATTGTTCGTAACTCGTGAAAAAATGTTTTTTGCACTCGTTACGAAATATACTAGTATGTCACCCGGCGATAAAAGTATTATCTGACTCATGTGATTATAATCCTCGCCTTCGGCTCGAATGATAAAGTCACATTTGTTAGATAATACTTTTATCGCCTGATGACATAATGTACTATTTTATCATACCTGCCGAGTTCACTTTTCGAAACAGTAATGGGGGTAAAGTGGTTGCTTTTATGTCCGAAGTGAAGCTTTACGCACGAGAATTTGCAATACCCAAAAGCTGGTGAACTTTACGCACGCCGTGTGGAAAACAACCGCTTTACCCACTTATTAGGTAGGTATCACGAAACCGTATATTTCGATACGAGTGCGGAAAAGTTTTTTTTTGGCTCGTGGGAGGTTTATAGCACGAGTCGAAGGCGAGTGGTATAATCCCATGAGTATCGAACGATATTTTTCGTCACAATGTGTGGAAATGGGACGCTTCGCATGCCTAAAAAGTTACTTTCTCGCACAGTGTGATGAAAAAAAAATTCTGTCATTTTTTTCAAACAGTAAAGTATCTTGCAGCTTACCCCGAAAAATTTCATGTAAAAGTCCGTCTCAACATTATTTCAAGAGATTTATGATGACAGCAAAATGAATGAAAAACAGAAATTATCCTCCTAGACTAAAGTCTTGTAATTATTTTATTTGTCATTTTTATATTATAGACATCACAATTGTTCCCAGGTTTTTGTATTTTTTACACGATGATGAGTTGAGAGTAATTTTATAAGTACTGAGATTGTTTGGATAAGCGAGATAACTATCAGATGCTTTGCATCGTCTTCTCGAAGTTTACAAAGGATGTGTTGAGGAAGGATACCCATGAATTTCCTTTAGCCTCTACGAATGCCGTGATGTAACCCACGGGTTTGAGGCTCTCGTAGTTATCCTCCCGAAATTCCACAAACTGCAAAAGAGAAATGGAAGATGAAAGGGATGAAGTTGTTGGTAAATTTCTTCAGTTCTCTCTTCTGGATACATACGTCGGAAAAATCCTTTTCACTAGTGAAACCGCTGCCTATTGAGCCTATGAATGCCCTGAGTATGGGGTATGATTTATGGAACCTGTACAGAATGATAAATTGTTTTAAAGAAATGTAACTAGTAAAAATTATCAAAACAAGTGGATAATTGCTTTCCTTTCGCAATCGTTGGGGAAAAATTACGGAATGACTTGTTGTTCCCACAGCGGTGAGTCATCAGACGGGTGGTTACTTTTTATGGAACAAATCGTAGAATTTATGTGGAAATTCGTACAATTTCCGTTCCGACTCACACTCTTTATTGAATTTTACTTCGCTCGCGGATTACGTTTCGAAACATAATTTTTACGTTTTTTTCTGGGAATTTTCCTCATCCAAATGTCAGCCAATAGAATTGCACTATTCGACTGTTATTTCATATAGTCAACACGGTATTCAGCTGATAATTTTTGATAATTCAACTGGTAATTTTTCATGTTGACTATATTCGTGGAAAACAAAATATTCCGTGGTCGAGCGAACCCCTGGTTGGAACTGTCAGATGGATTTTGTCTCATAGTGCAATTCTTTTGGCCGACATTTGGATGGGAAAATTCCCTCCCGAATACTACTCGAGCTTCAAAATTAATCGAGTAATTCCCTCAAGGTTCCCTGCACACAAACGAAGTCGTCAAGTTTTTCAGGAAAAATCACTCGTGCTTCGCAGTCGTGATTTTTTAACCTGACAAACTTGACTCCTTCGTTTGTTTGCAACGAATCTATCGGGAATTGCTCGATAATTTTGAAGCTCTCGTGGTATTACTTGTGGTAATTTTTATTGAATTTTTCTCTCCGTGCATATTTCTGGGAATCATATTTTGAAATTCAATTAAAAAAGCATAAAACGGATATTTACTTTTCAACTATATCCGCCCAATTTTTCCGTACGAATTGAAAGGCTACCTCAGCAGCAACCGGATGTTTGTCGAATGCTCTCAGAATAACTAGCGTCTCAGTCTCTTCGAAAAACTCACCCTTGACAATTTCATTCAACACCCTGAGAACAATTCAATAAACAAGTGTTTGAGATTGCACAGCCGTAAAGTGTAGCTTTAGCACCTTTGGACAATTTCAACGACAGAAACGGAAATAGTCCCGCTGTTGATTGAATCTAAAATTGATGGATTCATCCACCTCTTCCCCTACCCCTGTAAATGCTTCAAGAGTATCACTTTAAACTCACGCCTGCAACATCCAAGGCACTTGGAAGCAGGCCAGAGACGATAGGAATGAATTTCTGTCGTCGTCACGCTTCGTGATGTTTCCTAATTTCTCCTGCCACCATTGCCATCCAAGCTCATCCGCCAGGGTGCACAGTAGAGTCTCACGTAAATACGACGGTATGCTGTAAAGTTTGTGTATTTACTCAGGGGTTCAACTGGAAAGGAGCTTTGTCATTTGAGTTTGGCTGTTTGAGTCTTACAGATGACGAGATTCCCATTCTGGTGAGGTTTTCAGGCCTTCGGCATTTTCCTTTGCCCAACTTACGTACTCGGGTATCTCAAAGGTTGATCCTAATTGGTGAGCCACTAATGTCAGTCGTCGACCATGATTTATGTCTAAACCAACTTCTCGGAAAAAATTTGATGTCAATTTCTTCATGTATTCCTGGAGAAACGGGATACTTTACTTTTTTTGGTCATGATAGAATAGATTGTTGTCCGTAACGTTGTTTCTCATCAAAATAATGTCAAAATTGAAGAGAATTTGTTTTTGATTAGAAATCCTTTTTAAGGGGATACGTCAGTGAAAATTTTTCGCGTCTCTGCTCTAGAGACGCGAAAAGTTTATAAAATTCAAAGTTCATTTATTCATGATCTATTGCGAATAAAGTAAAACGGATGCTTAACTTTATTCTTTGGAGTGTAACGAACATTAAAAAAAAAACTAAAATCGTATGAAAACTATGGCGCAAGGAGCATTTTGAAGGTAAAAACAGGAAAAAATGAAATTTTTCGTGGTTATACGGGGCAAAATCGATTGGGTCCGCTATTTTCCCTAGTTATTCCCATATTCCGTCATATAACACAAACTGTTCAATGGGTCCCAAGGCCTAGTGAGGACTTAAATTTCCCCAACGCATTCCCTTAAGGGGTAACAGAATGCCGTTAATTTTCCAAGTTTTCGAACGAATTTCCTCCTGAAAGTTATCGATATTTTTACAAATGAAAGCTCAGTAATCTCCAGGAGGCGATCAATGTGCTTTGAATGTCAAAAATATTAATAACTTTGAGCAGGAAATTTGTTTGAAAATTTCGAAGAAACGGTGGCCTTCTGGTACCCCGTAAGGGGAGACCGCTGTGAAATTTGAAAGTGTCTGGGTATTATAGAGACAATTGTAAAAGTTCATAATATGTGTTGCAGGTGAAAAATAGTGGGGAAAAATCGTACTCGGAAATTTTCGGAAGGTTCTAAAGGATCAGAACGGGTCAAATTCTACAAAAACGTCCAAGTCCCTCAATTTTTGACTGATTGAGCTGAAATTTGGGAGACACATAGTTAAGGACAGCACAAAAAAACAAAGATGGATTCATATACAAAAATCTTTCCAGTGGCAGCAGTCTCATCTCTGTGCCAAAAAAAGCCAGAATTTTGTCGGACTGTGTAATTTTCATGTGATAATTTTTGCTGAAGTAAATGGTAAATTTTACAGTTTTGGCACAAATTGCCCTCTCGATTAGTAAATTTTCCCGAGTCAGTGGGAAAAAAATCACTATTCGTCTCACATTTAATGCCTCGGTATAGAGTGAAAAATCCCGAAAAATGGATTCCGTTTCACGATTACTTGATTTGTTTGAAAATTTTTCTCCGACATTTTTCTTTGTGTAGTGAACGCGTTTGGTTCTTCTATCAAATTTTTTTCATTCGTGATACCCTGATAAAAACTTTTCTCAATAAATTTCTTTGGACATCTTTTGTCCTAAAATATTGCTTAGGTAATGTGAGAATTCTTTAGAATTTTGTTTTGTCCTATTTCACTATCATTCAAACATCTGATAAAATTGGGACGAGAGTTACCTGATATTTCGGATAAATCGACGTATCATACAACACAAGATTGAGTTTGATGGCGTGACGCATGAGTGCAGTCCAAGGCTCGGGTTGGCTCTCATTTCTCAAGTAATTGATCAGACTGAAAGCCGTATCGTAAGATGTAGAGCCAACGAAAGCCAAGCTCAATACATCGTCGACTAGAGAGGCTTTCACCGGTGAAGGAAATTCCGTGGGATTCTCTCCTAATGCACGTGCAATCAATTCCCAGTTATCGGGATCGTAATTAATTCTGTAGTATCCTTTGAAATTAATTGAAAGTCTATCAGGGGAATTTTCCTTTTATTCTTGGTTACGTTGAATGGGAGAATTCGAGGGAATACTGTACCCGTGGAATTAACGTTAAATATCACCCACGATTTTTCGTCGGGATTACCGACGTTATCTATCGTTGTTTCCGCCAATTTCAGCCATGTGAATGAGGGTGATGACCAATTACCATCTTCGGTGATCCAAGAGAGAGGTAAGTACCAAGGGTTTTGTCGCTCTACTGTTAAATTATCAAAACTAAAACGTTCCTAGAACAAAATGGAACAACGGTCAATATACACGGAGATAATATGAAATTAAAAATTACTATGTGAACATACTAATCGATCACCAACCGAAAAAACTTGAAAATTTGATCTATTTTAACCCACACGGAGAAAAATTCTCTAGAAAAATTCTAGTGCTAGCAAGGGAAAAAGGGCCCAAATGACAGTTAGGAAAAAATTTCAGTGCCGGCACTGGGGATTTTATTGGGTATACCACGTGAATTTTTTTCCGTTCTAAGAGGAAATTTTCAGTTATAATACCCCAAGGCCTTCAAAATTATCGAATATTTCCCGAATGTTTTGTTGCATAGCAACGAGAGGGATCAGTTTTGCAGATTAAAATTCCGAGCGCGCAGCGCTCAAAATACACAAAAAACAAATACACTAAACACAAGAGAGGAGATAACCGATTGGTTCAGTGTTTACTTTATAAATGAATAAATACTCATTTAAACTGTTCACTCTTTAAAAACGGAGTGTAATTATGTTATAAACATTAAATATTGTATTGATTCTGAATGTTTTTAGAACTGTGAATCCTCTAAAAGTAATTGATATGAGCTTGAATACGTCAACTCATAATTTAAATTTATTATTGTATTATGAAGGTGAATAAACGTATTATAAAAAAAAAGTTGGGAGAGTGCCCGGCGCATAACTGGGAGACCAGAGTTCCAATCCCGCTTGAGCGATGCGGGATTTTTTCTTTCTGAATTCTAATTCTCTTTGAGTTGATTTAATGCCTAAAGGTGGTTAGGCGGTGTTGTGAAGCGAATTTGGAGAGAAAATTTCTGTAGTTCCCGATAACTTAGTTGGGTGAGTGCCCGGCGCGTAATTGGGAGACCCGGGTAAACGAAAACTTTTTACGAGTAAACGAAAAGGCACTTTTCGGTACGGGGTGAACGTAGCAGCCGTTTCAAAATACTATTTTTCGTCATTGGGTCAACAAAACGTTTTTTGAAGGCGGGTCATATCCTCAACTGCCTGGATCTTCAGGAAATTCACGACGGTTGATTTTTCACGGATCCGAATGACCCATAATAGGTCATATTCATAGATGTCTTTAAAAAGTTAATTCAATAGTTTTCCAAAAAATCGAAAGAAAAAATTGTCGTTCCCTAATATTAAATCAAAAAGATTTTTTTGAATGTAGAAAAAAAATCATTTACTTGATGAACTCTAGCAGAACCACTACTGTAATCCCTTTCAACAGTCAGAACTGGATACCCATGACTACTGATCCATGAATTCATAGCAGCAATGGCATCGATCCCCTCCGGAATACCCTCTGCATCATCAGTCATTGCTTCCAGAAATGAACCAACGTCACCATTTCCATTTGCCCTGATAATATAAACATGAAAATTGTAAATTTTTCCGCCACGAGTGTCACCGAGGTCGGAAATCCACGTCGAGATGACACAAATACGCAGAATCGACATGTAAATTATAGTTTCAGTAGTTTACCCACCACCTGTTAACGAATTTCCTGTAGCCAATCCACGACTCGTTTCGTCTTAAAGCTCCATGCAACATGCGTAGCAAACATGCACCTACGAATAAGTATTCATTTCTGAAATATTAATTCAGTTAACGATAATATATAGACGAAAAATACGAAAGCATTTGATTGAAAATGTAAAATTAATGTTCTATTGACAAATCAAACAGCAGAATTTCTGTAGAAACAATCTCAATAGAAGTGAGAATAAGTTGTGTAGAAAGATCAAAATCTGATGATTTTTGCTTCTCAATGGAAGTATTGAAATGGTCCAATGTTCACATTCTTTAATTTCGATTGGTAATGATGTAGAATGGTCTGAACCGTAAAAATGCGAAGTTCGGCGATCATGTCTGTACACTGAGAGAAAAACGAACAAGTTCTCAAACAAGTCTTGTTTGGGTCAAGAGAATCCTTAGTTGAAAATTACCAAGAAAATAATTGTCTAATTCGAATTTGAAAGCTTCAAACATGAATAATTGCTCCGCTTTCGAAAGCAAAATAAAATATTTGTTTCAAGAGGCGGATCATTCATATAAGACGGTGTCTTTTCAAGATAAAAATATCTTTTATAGAGGGAAGTTAATCAAGAAATATTTTATCTCTAAGTTTCAAGATGTCTGTCATATCATTATTATGATTTCATTTAAGAATTCATTTTGTGTCTGTGATTATAGAATAACCAAAACGACAAACTACTATCCCTCGTTTCATCTAAAACCAACATTTGTCGGGAGCGAAATAAGTATGGGAGCATCGAATAATGAAGAGGTAGTGCTAGAAATTATTCATTTCTTGTTTGCACAGAGAATAAATTTGTTTTGAATAGGGTAAATCTATTTTTGCAATAAATATTTTCAATCTCGGCGCACGCTTCGCATGTTTGGCCCAAAAAAATCCTTTCTGCTTCCGAATCGAAGCCTTATTGTTTAGGGTCATTATTGTATGTATGTATTCGAGAACTTGGGTTTTTGGTGATTAATTTTTAGAAAATTCAACATAAATGCGGTGAAATTTGTAGATAAAAATCTGAAACTTCAGCTCATTGTAGCTATTATTGAAGGAAACTTTGGCACGCTGTTTCAGCCCGATTGGTCCAGTAGTTCCTGAGATATAACAACTTGTTTAAATTTCGGTTTTCCTCAATATCTCAAAAACTACTGCACCAATTTCAAAATTTTTCTTTTCAAAACGCTCGTCCCGATGGCCTCTATATAAGTCAATCAGAATATAGAGACCATTTAATACACAGTATGGAAATATTGCCGTTTTTCTGTTTTTCATAAAAAATCTTGTACGCATGATAACTTGAGAAGAAAAGGAGATAGCAAGTTTAAATTTGATATAGTTCTAGCTCTTAAAATACTAAAGGTTGTTATTTGGGATGGGCGCAATCGGCCGAGCGGTTGCTGAGATATGCAACCTCTTGTGTAAATATATTTCTTCAAATATCTCATGAACTACTCAACGGATTTGAATTTTTTTTTCAAAATACTCGTCTCGGCGGCTTCTATCTAGATCAATCAATATATATATCTGTTCATATAAAGTATCCGAGGTATTTCCGTTTTTTAGTTTCTTAAATTTTTTCGTTCTTGTACGCACGATAGTTTAATAAAAAATGAAAATAGCAAGTTGAAATTTGGTATCACTATAGCTCTTACAATATTGAAGGTTCATATTGTGGATAGGCTTAACCGGCCAAGCAGTTTCGGAGATATTTAATCTTTTGTCTAAATCTATTTCATTGAAAGATTAAATATCTTCCTGCAGACACCCTGCAACATGCGGTTACGATTGCATAATGACAGGGAATTGGTACGAATCCATTCGGAAGTTTACTACCAATGGAATTGGTAGAAAAAAATCAACTAGCAGCGTTAAAAAAACGGTCACATGTACTCCTGCTTGTTAATTTACGAAATGTTCAAAAGTTGTTTTGAGAGATTGCTCTCAACCTCTCCATTACGTAATATTCAGGTTCGTTTGAGACTAGCGCTTTACTTTACTACTCATTCAACATGCACATGACCACTTCCATCAAGTTTTGAAGGATTTCTCAAGAGTTGAGAATAAATTTGCCATTCCGTTATGCTAATGATAATAAATCTTAATCTCCTTATCTCCCATCTCTTTCTCACCTCTGTCATACAACTCATCCGGATGAAAGGCCTCCAAGTATGCTGGATTAACCTTGGACTTCAATGACTGTGATACTGTGTAACCATCGGCCTCAAACGCATCCAATTGAACATCCAGGATAAACGTGGAATGATTGAATGTAGGATCTAACTGGAAATTAAAAAATTTATTGAATCAATGGTTTCAATTTCTTACGCTTGTGTTTCCTGTTACTGAACACTTGCTTTGGGAATCAACGAGTGCTGGAGATCAGTGAGGGAGCTCTCGAGAATCCAGACGTCAGTCCAATTCTGGGAATTCACTAATCCACCCAGCCATTGTTGACCAATGAGACGAATCAATGTTTGGAGGGTTTCGTATCTCGTTATTCCTGGTGACGTATTTGTCACATTAAAAAGTGGTTCTCTATAATTGAACGGAGAAATTTAATGAATGAGGTGATAATTGAGTTTATCACGCATAAAAAAACTCAATGGAAAAATTTAGCACTGTCTTCAAGAAATTCTATTTTTTTTACTTCAATTTTGATTGACATTCTATTTTACGGTGCCTTTTTCATGAGTGATTTAATGCAAAGTGGTCAATGTAGTTTGATTTTTCTGTAGTAAGTCTTGAGTATGAGTTTTCTGAGGTTAGTCGATATAATATATAAAAATCCGATGGGTTGTTGATCGCTCGCTTCGCTCACTCCCATTGCGGGTCCGTTGGAGGGGGTGTGACCCATTACGGATCGAACCAATAACTACCCGACCAATTGCCTTTCCTTCAGTCATTAGAATTAGATTTTTCTATGCAACTTATTTTATTTAAATATTTTCCATTGAATTTCCTCGGCTAAAATTTTCTAAGTTTTTCGTTTGATTTTCTTAATATAAAAAACAGAAAAATAGAATGAAAAAAAATCAATGAAAAAAATTGACTTATACTGAAAAATCTTTGAAAAGTTTCGAATTTCAGAAATTCATGTTTGAAATCATATTGGAAATTCTATTTGTCTCTTAGCAATTGTATTGATAAATTATGCAGCTTTTTTGCACCGTTTTTAGGAATAGAAATATCGACTAAGAAATATTTCATAGAAAACATTGTTGAATTTTGATTTTCTTACGCAATACCGTTGAGAATATTTCTTACCGTTCCAAATTTTCCACGTTTTTTTCTTGATGTTTTTAACGAGGAGGAAAATAAAAAAAAGAAGCTTAAAAAATTAATGATGAAAAATTTCTCCAGAAAATATTCCAGGAGAATCGGTGAAAAATCAATAGAATGCAATAAGAACGCAATAGAATTGTTTACTGAAGTCATGGTACTAAAGACAATTCTTTGATCAATAGTTCTAAAATCAATAATTCCTAACATTTATAAGATTAGGTGAATATTATTCCTCGACTCATCTCATTCACTCACATCAATGTTAAACTGACCTGACTCTCAACTTTATCTACTTAATAAAATTTTCTGGTGCGTGCCATTACTCACATAATTGTGATTATTCCGGGACTCCCATAATTCTCCATAAATGGAACACAGACGATATCAAGCTGAGGCATGTAAAAATCGAGTGCAAACAGTTCTATGAAATTTTCCAGCACTGACTGAGTCATATTCTTCAAATAGCGTGGATTTAAGTTGACGTTCGTTTCTCCCCAAAATGTTATCGACTTCCCTTTCATTGTTATATTGTCCAGTGTCTCCAACTGCCCCTGAACGAGCACGAGATTGTGGGGAGACATTAAAGGGGTCTCTTCGAAAGTATCAATCACCACACTATTTGATCTGATTGAAAGAAAATGAAACAATTCATCAAACATGACAAAAAAACATGAAAAAACTTTTTCTTCAAATTATGTCAGTGGAGAAAATCTGAAACGAAGTGAGCTGTTCAATTCGGAACATAATCAGGTTTCCTAACATAGTGGAGAAACTGAAAGGGATAGAATAATTATGATAAACTTCTTTCTGTTGGTCATATCTTCTCTTACGGTTGTTTCTCCAATTTCAAAAATAGTATATTGTGCTACAAGAGTGTGTTAAATGAATATTTCATAGCACGCCTGCCAGCACTGATAGAAAGGATGAGTTATTGTTAACGAATGGATATGGTTGGAGACGAGGGCCTATTCGGTCTCACCAAATGTTCATTCGTTAACAGTTAACAAATTCAAATTTGAAAAGGCTTGTTTGACTCGATTTTCATCTTTCAAGTGAACCATTCGTTAACTATTAACGAATATTCATTTGGTCATATTCAACTCTACCATTCGTTAATACTTAACGAATTTCGTTTGGAATAAATGAATCAGTCTATCAGTGTGTAAACCTGCTCTTTACTCAGGGTTCAATCACTAAATATTGGATGTCATGGAATATGGATATATATCTGATAAAATAGTATTTAAAAATCAATCTCCACACAGCTCGACACATTTCAGTGTCACCCCATTGGGGTACAGGTGCGTAAGGGGGATGCCACCATGAACGCACCGCAAAAACTACGGAAGGTGTAAAATAATCGTTCGAATATTTTCCGTCACTTATGCGTAGAATGAAATTTTACGTATGCTCCGCGTACACAAAATGCCACTTTCCACACATGGTGAGAAAAAACAGGGTTCGACACTCGTGGGAAAAGTGTTCTTTGGCCCCTGGGAAGGAAGTGCTCGCCTTCGACAAGCGCCAAAAAAAGTGTCAAAAATAGCCTATATCGCGTCGAAAAGGCCTGTGGCACTAGGCGCGAACGATATTTTCCCGAAGTGACTTTCACATTTGCCAGTTCGGGGAAGGGTCAATATCTCCCAAAAAACCAAAAGGTCTTTTGTAAAAAAACACTCGCCAAGAACGGGTGCGACCGTTGGTCTGTTTACAAAAAGTTGTGAAATCGGGCAAAAGCCCGTAGTGTCCACTACAGATTAATAAAGCCTGAAGATTATGACGCAACTCATATAAAACTGAAGAAATAATGAAAATGATGAAAATGATATTCAAAATTTGAAATGATAAAAATTCCAAGTCAGCCTACTTGGCTCGCGATTAAAGCTACACACAATCTCGCGAGATTTTCTTTCCATTCCTGGCAACGGGACGCAACTGTGTCCCTTGTCCAATCCCCAGACTGGGAAAAGTGAAGGTCAGTACGGAAAACACTTTTTCCGTACTGATCTTCACTTTTCCTCGTCCGGGGATTGGTATTGACCCTTCCCCAAACTCGTAAAACTGAAAATCACTACGGAAAAATATCGTTCACGGCTAGTGCCATGGGGTTTTTTACTCGCGTAGAGTTGGCGCCGAGCCGAAGGCGAGAAAATATACTCGCCTGAAATATACTATTACACACTCGTATTGAAATATACTATATCTGGCCTTTGCGTATGCGTTGCGTATATATAACCCTTTACGCCAGCTAAACCGCCACGAAAAGAGACCTTTTCCGGCAACCAGTACAAAACAATTCTTTAGACTGAGGTTGGTAGCAACTGTGTTTGTATTTGCGCGCGACCGCATAGCGAGCGAATGCGAATACTTGCCGGAGGCGAGTGCTATTCTCTCACGGCTCAAAGAATACTTTCCCACGAGTGTCGAACGCTATTTTTCATCACATTGTATGTCAAGCGGCTTTTTATGAATTTTGATCATAAAATATAGTGAATCCAAGGGTCAAGGGAAAACCAGAGATACCCAAGCAAATGGGCTAATGCCTACATTTCATGGATATTGTCTATTTCTTTTTTGAATAATTGACTCAAGTTGGTGATTTAAGTTTTCATTAACATGAAGAACATATGGTTCTGTCCGAGGGGCTACTCATTCCATAATTGAGTGGCACCATATGATTCCGAAATGAAATCGATTTCGGATGATTTCAGTAATTTCGGAAAAAATTATTTCAGTGATCTCGAGCCTCACGGAAGGTGATTTCATGATTTTGAATGATTTAATTCATTCGAATTAATTTCATTGATTTCAGATGATTTCACGTGATTTCGGAATGATTTCATGGCAGACTGGCGCCGTGATTTCAGAAGTGAGCAGCCCCTCGGTTCTGTCACTCAATTGAAAAAAAAAAATTAAAAAATATTCAAGTGCTTCAGGTTTTGCATAGAAGTCGTTAACCCATTCCCATGTCAAGCGTTTTCCCACTTTCTGACAATTTTTGATACTCTGCGTGCAGCACCGGGCTCTCGTAATGAGAAAAACTGAGAGAAAAACACTGAGAGAAAAAATTTCCTTTTCCGAAAAACTATGTATTCCACGTGAGACTATTTGATGGAGTGGTGGAACAGATTTACTTGAGGGAAATTGACCAACTTGATAGAAAAAAATTGAATATCTTCCACAAAAAGTAATTTTTTGTCGTGATCATCAGAAGTATCCCTAGAAGAATTTAAACTGTTGACTGGAAAAAATATAATCTAGTGTACGACCATCATTTGATCTGAGAGAACTCCACAGGTTTATACCTTCTATTGGTGTTTTCGCCAATTATTGGTATGGTTTTGTACCTTTAAAAATTTAAGTTTGTTGAGGCTTCTTATATGGCTTTCTTATCGTTCAAAAGGGCTAAAAAAATTTTGTTCAATTTTTTTCAAATTTTATTAATGAATTTTTGACAAAATTTTGCGTTTCATCACAGGTCTATTTTTTTCGGCTTTTCAATAAGTATTTCCGGCGGAAGTTTTCCCCTCTTTCGATTGAGCATGGCGTCAGTTAGCTCACATAATCGGAAATGCTTTAAAATCGGAGCTCATTGCCCCGAAGATGCAAACTGCGAAACGTCGGCGCAACGCTGAAAGCAAACGCGGCATCCACCCGTAAGCCAATGATATCAACGAATGTATTTCCCCGAAAGCCATATAAATGTTCCATGAGAACAATTACAACTACGAAAATTATCATGTTTTGGTGGAAATGTTCTTTTTTGTCCGCTTAAATTGCTTCAACACAACAAAAGATTTCTTCAGGGAAGCATATCATTCTTCGGCAGAACTAATTTCTTTGTCTCAGACACTCACACAAGAAAAAATGTAATGGAAAATCTAGCGAATTCGCTATTCGCTATTGGATTTCAATTGAACTTTCTATTAGTCGTTAGCCGATTCTATTGAAAATGTTCAATAGAAATTATTCTGTAGAAAAAGTCAATAGAATGCGATTTTTTATACACCTTATTCTACTCAAATATTTCCTATAGAATTTCCTCGGCTGAAATTTTCGGCTAAAATTTTTTGTTCGATTTTCTTGATGAAAGGAAAGAGAAATAGAGTGAAAAAAAACTTAGTACATTTGAGCCGAGCAAATTATATAGAAATGATCTCAATAGAATAATTTCTATAGGAAAATCAAGTTCTATCGACTTTTTCTGGAGAATATTGTCTATTAAATATTCCAATAGAATCTGCCAAAAACAAATAGAAAATTTAATAGAAGTCCAATAAAATTGTCTAGCCAATTCGTTAAGTTTTTCTATTAAATTTTTTCGTGCATACTGAGACGCTCCCAATCTCTTCACATCGATACGTTCTTGATCTTGACACTGCAATGGGTTAAAAAGAACTTCAACATCTACCTTGGATTCAACTATATTTACATTTGTAGAAAAATTGATCTGCCGCTCTGCAACTAGTTTCCGTTCATTTCATTGAAATTTCTACTTACGCAGGAGCTCGAAACTTCACTGGAGTATTTGACAAGACAACAATGTTCTCGTCATGTGCAACGGACAGTACGAATTTAGCTTTTAATCTCACATCATCGAATACCGGAAAGAGTCGACGTGCATTGATGGGTTTTAATCGACTCGCCATCAGCCATCTTCAAGAGAAAAGAAAGTATGAGGACAAAGAGGATTAGCTGGTGAGAAAATCAACGGCTTTATACGGTAAACTGGATTAATCACTCACCTGTCGCCATTGTCATCGCTGAAATTTGCTACGCGGAGAGTACGATTATCGACCAGAGCTTCGTAATTTATTTCCAGAGCATAAACTCCTTTCTTTATGCGCCTTGGTAGATGAGTCCTTAAAATTCCGTGTTCGTTATCCAGTTCGTTTTTACTGCTGTCAATGTCAATAATTTTCGTTCCTAATGAATTGAAGACAGTTGGGTAAAATCAAAATGACTGTTCTAGTGTTGGTAATTGATTTAGAAGACACTGCCTTGAGAAACAATGAGAGTGTACTTCGAAAATTTCAATATTACGGGGTTGATAAACGCATCCCTATGATCCCACACTGATAAACTGATTCATTTATTCCAGACGAGATTCGTTAATTATTAGCGAATGGTAGAGTTGAACATGGCCAAATGAATATTCGTTAATAGTTAACCAATAGTTCACTTGAAAAGTGAAAATCGAGTCAAACAAGGCTTCTCAAATGTGCATTTGTTAACTATTAACGAATGAACATTTGGTAAGACCGAATAGACCTTCGTCTCCAACCAAATCCATTCGTTAACAATAACTAATCCTTTCTATCAGTGCACATATGAAAAAAAATCTAGAAAAATCTAGCGTATGTATTCTATAAGAAATTCTGTTCAATTTTTACGTAAACTCTACGAATTTTGTTGCATTTCCATTAGAATTCACTTGAAAGTTGATGAAACATTCTATTTATTCCGCGCTGATTTAGTGCGATCTCTATCATATTCTGATATGTAGGATCAAGTGGATATTGTTATCAATTTTTCGAGCCATGACGAATTGCATTTTGATGATAATTTTTTCCCGCTTCGCGGGAGGGAAATCTTACTTTGCGCCCACCCGGGCGAAAAATACTATTTTCTCACCAGAATCATAAAATATCGAACGATACATATGAAAAAATGTACTTCCTCACGAGTGTGATTAACGCTCACTCGTCAACAACTATTTTTGCTTCCGGATGGAAGCTTTGTAATCGCTCAAATTTAAGTTACCATTTTTTTGTGTTGGGTTAACTAAATATGGTCTAAAAAGTTCGAATATGCGATTTTTAGATGGTGTCTGTATGTATGTATGTATCTGCGTATGAATGTATGTGGTCCTTTTTGCTTCATTTTTTTCGAAATTTTCTTATAAGTGACCAATCGAATTTCATTAATTTGTTCATGAATATAGACTGTCCCACGTACGAAATGCCAGTGTTGGAGAAACGGGCCAAGCCTGGCACAAGCCTGGGCTTGCCAAGTCTGGGCGCCCAGGCTTGGACCGAGGTTCGGCCATCCCTGGGGACCAGGGCTTGAGTCTCGGGAGAAGGGCGGGTAACCGAGCCTTGGTTGACAGATCTGGCCC